ACCTGTGCTGAAACCAGGCTGCTTCAAATTTATCCCTGAACTGATTTCAGTTTTTCTAGATGAATTCCCCATGCAGGCGCATCCACCGGAGCCGTCTTAATGTACAGCTTCACAAGGTGCCGGAGAATGGCCATCAAGCAATCGAATTCTGCCTTGTCGCTGCCCCATTTGCTCGTGTACCATGGTTGTCCGGGGAACCTGCCAGACCAAAACATTCCTGAAGGGTGCCGGTGAATGCCAAGGCCGATGACCGTAGGCAAAGCTGTGTAGTCCCATCCATCCTGTTTGGATATCTGGACCAACTTCTTCCAAGATTCGCTCAGATGGAACCTCTTTGAACGATCCAAGCCACAAGGTAGGGCAGAAGGACCTTCAGAAGCTGCAGCGCTCTTCCTGTGCCCCTGCAGTTTCCAAGAACTCTGCATTGCATACTGCGTCATCATCTGTATTGGCTTCATCAACCCCGCTGCTCAAAGCATCTTCATCTGAGCATTCATCCCCCTCTCCATTCGCATGGTTTGTCTCGCATGGAAGCCGAAGGTCTCCTTCTGGTGGCATCATGTGGTCGTGGTCGCTCTCACTATTTGTATCTTCATGTTGACCCGGTTCCTCTTCTTCGCTCTCTGCACCTGATGACTTAGCATCAGGAGGCACCCAAACAACCAAACAAATCAAACATGTTCGATCATATCATTGAAACAAAGACATAACAGCACAGCCCACAACATAAAACCACCAAACAGTCAAGCTGAACTTATATACACTGAAGTTTTTGATCATCAAAACCAATACCAGCCACCATGACATGGCACTGACACCAACCCCTGATCTCGCCTCCATCGTATGCGTCTCTGATCATGTCCAAGCCATTCACCATGTCCTTGGTGTTCAGAAGAAGAAGCTTCCTTTTGGGATACTTGTCTCCTGAAATCCAGTATGTGCCTGGTCCATCCACCAGCTCTGGATTGTTGAGAGTCATTGTGACATGGAGTTCTTCCAAAGACTGGACTCCTTTTTTAATCTGCTGTGGTGTCGCAATCTGCTGCCTCCTTCAAAAAAGAAAAGCTCCATGTCGCGGCCATTGACTTGCTGTAGCTTTGTTTGCCACTGGACTGGTTTCTTTGTGCTCAATACCTTCCTACCCCTCCTGTGCTGGCAGACCAAGCGTTCAATGCAAACAGAAATGGCACTTGGCAAGAACGCATGATTCCCATCATCTAGCTCCACAGCCCAGAGCAGTCGGCTGGTGGGAGGGGGTTGCACAACATCGTTGAGGACACCACACTGCCGCAGCATACCTGATGCATCTAATGTTGCCAAGGCCTCTTGATGGCTCATCTCTGGATACTCCGGGTAATGGTTGCTGGAAAAGTACCCGGCAGCCGTCCACGCCGCAGCGAACACCTTCAATGGCCTCACCAAACAAATGCTCTAAGCAGAAACTGCTCCATACCTACACCCTCAGTGCCATGTCATGACTGCAGGGTACACTTTACGTATGGATGTTGATTCTATTGGATTTTAGTATCTATATACATATAATGTGTATATATAATATATAAATAGATCATCATGTTGACATAGGATTCAATCTAACTGCGGAAAAACTCTCTAGCTACAGGCTTGGCAGTGTCATGTCATGTGGTTGGTTTCCAGTCCATGTGCTTCAGACATCTCTCAACAACCTGATGAAGGATCTGAGCTCAGCACACAGATTTCCAAGCGAGAAGGCTGCGATCGGGGAGAGTTTTCACATCAAGCTTTTTGTGCCCTGGCTGTCCTGATGCCTTCACTGGCATTGACTGATACTCTGGACGGGATCTGATGTCAGCAATAAACCCACAATCTGCATTGTCAGCTAAATCCAACCTCGATCTATAGATGTGATGCAGTTGATCGACCGGTTGGGCACATGCGCTCCAGCCGCCCACTTGCTGGTCGGGCAATCGGACGTTGACATGGGTTGCCCACGCTGCACGCGCTGTATCAAGACCTGTGCTAAAGCTGTGGTATCCGGTCCAACCGTCCACGAGCAACAGTCCTTCGTGGGAAATGTCAAGGCCGTGCTTTGCTCTTTGCACTGCAAAGGCGTCAACGTAGAGTTGTTGTAGTAAGATCAGCCACGTTTCACCGTTGAGGAAGTGGGTTTTCCTCTCTGATGCAAGTAGTAGACACTCTCCACGATGCTTCTGGTTGAACTCAGCCACGAAAGAGGCATTGAACATGTTGGCAGGATAGCATGGCCCTAAAGGGCCAGGCGATCCATCTGACCAGGAAGAAGTGACGGCCGTGAGGGCCAAACGAGATCCGTTGATGTTGTCAACACGGGCAATGAGCCCTCCATGTTGCTTCTCTCCTAACATATCCATATCACTGTGATGACATAGCACTGACACAGACCCAAACCAACTTTAATATATAAAGGATGTATGAAGAATTCCATTGAGGATGTGTATTCTTTTGGACCTCTTCTCATATAATATATCACCGGAGCACCCCCTACATAAATCAGCACCCTGATGACATAGCACTGACAGACCAACAAAAAGCAAAAAAGGGCATGCATCCGTGATCAAGAAACGGTTCTTGACTTTCATCAGGGTCTTCTTGCCGGTTCTCAAGCTTTGCCTCCACACCTGGTCCACATTGAGAACCAAAAAGCCGTGCACTCCAGATGCCAGGTGCTGGTGCAGTTGTTTCCTCGACGCTGTTAAACGAGGGTCGTCCCACTCTAGGTAGGCGCCCCCAGTGTTGACTGGGGATTGCTTCCATCGCATCATCTCCAAAAAGCGTCTGCACCATCTGCCATCTAGAGGAGGGCATTCCTGGGGTTCAGGAAGTAGACACCTGTGGAGTGTGTCACGGCAAGCACCAGCTGCAACAAGGTCTTGGGTCATTCGCTCATTGTGCAATGCCACAGCTGCTTTTGCCTCTTCGAGGCCTTTGTTGTAGTCCCGTGCCAGTTTGGAAGCGGTCACCACCTTGGAAGCTGAAAAAGACACCCGTTCTAAGGTCATTATCCTAGCTTCAACTCATGACTTGGCACAGGCACATCCATGAGGAGAAGGGGTCAGCTTCTGCAAACAGATATGGAGAGGTCTAAACTACACCACAACTGCCTCAACGCATTTCACAGAAAATAGAGGCCCCGACAACGTGACGCATCAGCACTCTGTCTCGTCTTTGGCACACCATAGAAAGACCCTGGCAGTGCTCGGTGATGGCCGCATTCAACTCCTGGCATGGGAAGGTTAGCACCAAGGACTTTCAACTCTGGGGTTTTGATCCGCATTGTGGATTTTTTGGACACATAATAGAGCTATGTCATTTGCATCGACTCGTTCAACAACCATTCCTTCCCATTCTCCTTGATCACTTCACCTGGGATCTTCCACCTTTGCACTTTTCCTTCTTTCTCCAAACTCTCCTTTACCT